TTGGAGATGCTGATCTACAAGAGATTGTGAATTTGTGTAATTGTTGTATTGTATGCTTAATAATGGACGAATCATTTGACTTAAAAAATCATAACGTTTTCAACATCTTGGTGCACAGATTTGCATCATTCACAAAATCTCGAATATTACGCACAAGCATTGGAGAAATGTAACACCACAGTCATTATGAAGAGGCTTAACCACATTCTTGAGCTGTCAAAAACAACTTAGATGGCTTAATAACTGAGTGTTCCATAAATCCTTTGTGCTGGCATGTTGAAGGGTGTTTGTACAGGATGTGCCCACAAGAAGAGCTTCAGCATATTGGATACAGAAGTTCTGCGCTTCAGCAAATTGGATGTTCAAAGCTCCAATTGTTTCCAGGAGAAAATGTGCCGATAGATGAATTTACTTGTCATCAAAGTTTAGTTTTCGATTCAGCAGAATAATCACAAAATTCAGTGAAAAAGCATTATTTTTTAATTCCATTACAGTCTTATGTTGTCTAAGTTTATGTTAAGTAATTATTAAAGACACAACCTTTTACTTTGAATTAAACGAATTAAAAGTCGTTCCTCCTAAGATTTGCTCATTTATCCATCTTTATATGTAAATCGTTCTGAGCTGATGCCTCGAATACCCTCGCCAATGCTATTAGTTTATACAAACTCTATAAAGTTGTGATCACATTAAATAGATTTAAATATCCTGTTATAGTTAGTTTGCGAATGAAATAATTATAGTTTATTCAAAAATGATTTATTTTTCAATGTACAATAATTATTAAGGAATTAGTTGTATTCTAGTATAACTAATTCCTTAATATCGAGAATCTCGATAATAGATTCGTAAAGGTTAATTGACAGTCAAATGATCATTTAATTGATATTTTTAGTCTCATTTTATAAAAGCAAAAGAAGCATAACATGTTATGCTTCTGTGATCAGATTTTTAATAAATCAATGCTCTTGTTTTTAAACTAATTTCAGTCAGTTATTGATTACTGCTTCTCCATATGTGGCTTCTCATTTCATGGTATATACAGCATATAAATTATGAAGGTGATTATCAGATACTAAAAATATAATCAAATCAGAAGTAATATATTCCTCCTTTAGCGTCGTCTAGTGCAAAATGGATTTTCTCAAAGTCCTCATTTCTTAACGAGTAACTTATTTTAATAAATTTATATAGGCCTATATATTCAATTCGATAAAGGACTAATAATTATATACTGTGTATATAATTTACATGTATATTAATTTATCTTATTGAATCATAGGTCTACATCTACATGCATCTAAGCTCCTTTTCATCCATTGCTAAATATTTTTTTCTTTCTAATTTTTCGAAATGAGATCATCAAAATCAATAAAGATAATCAAAAATTATAAATTATATTCATTCACTTGCTTTAAATCAATTCTCATAGATTTAAAGCACTTTTCTAGTCTTCATTTCATAATTGTTTTCAGTGTTATACGTATTATATATTATATTGGGACTTGAATTATTTCATAAGTGTATATTTATAGAAGAATCAATATAAAATTCTTTCTAATTTTTTTTTTTTTTTTGAAAGACATATTGTACATTTATATTAATGAATTCGTGGCGTATTCTGTCATTTTCAAAATCAATATTATCAGCGCTTTCAAAAATCCATTTTTCATTAATATATTGTAAAAATCGTCATAAAAAAATTAACAGCTTGATTTATTTATATAAATATGGAACATTTATCAAAAAAGCATTTATTATTAAATTTTCAACATCGGATATAAATAAATTATTAGTTAGAAATCTTTTTTATTTAATTGATCTAAAACAAATTAATTATTTATCACATAAAACTCTTTTATACATTACTTTCTTTTATATTTGTGATAGAATTATTTATTTCAGTATTTTTTCTAATCTTGTTTTCCAAGTAATTAATTCTTTAATATTTTTTTTAATATATGAAGATTAACATTCCTTAACATTTATAATTTTTTTTATCTCTGAGTTTTTTAAGTTTACAATTTTAAATGCTGGAGTATTTTTTAATGAAGACTTAAAAATAATCATTAAATATATGAAACTTTATCATAGTTTATTCGACTTTGTAATCAATTTTGTTTTAAATTGCATATAAAATAAATTACGTTTTATTTTCAAGCTGTTCTAAAAATATGAAATAATATTTATTTTACTACAGTTAGCTGGAAATAAAAATTGCCGATCGTCAATCAGTTTGGTAATGATGTCTATTCTTTATCCGATAACTTCCTCCTATCAAATATAGAATTTACAAAATTGAAATTGTTTTGAGGTAATTTAAGCTAGAATAAACGGTAAAATAAAGTATTTGCTTTATTTTTCAATTTATTATGACATGTAGTTATTAATAAATACATAATAATTCAGTTATACAGCAGGATATTACATGCATACATATTGCTTTTCCATATAAAATAATAATAGTTGAAAGCTCTCTTTTAAAATGAAACCATCTTATGAAATTTTTATAGGTTACATGCTGTCATATTTATTTAATAAATAACAGAATAAGAGACAGAATAAGAATTTAAAGTGAGATCAATACATGCTGTGTATATAACAATAGTGAATAACTTTTAATATACATATCGCTGCTTTGCTTTGATAGTCGCATAATTTTTTAAAAAAATCCAGCAACGAGTTGCTTAACTTTCCCAGCAACATTTCAAATTTTGGTGGCGACATCTGTTAATTTAATATATTTTATTTTAAAAACTTTTTATATTTTTAATTATTATAAAATGACAAAAAGCTTAATTTTGAGCGTAGCGATGGGTTTTATTAAAAAATTATAAATGCTAATAACCAGTAACATGGTCATAAAGTCCAACCATACTCGAGATATGACACCTCTTTATCTCCACACCTGTCGACCTTTAACCACCAAAAATTTAATAGCATTAATCCCCCAATACACAAATCTCCCTGCAAAATTTTAGAAATTTTCAACACAAAAAAACAAAGTTTATTAAGCTTCACAGAGGATGAACAAAATCTGTCCCCACACACTAACATCCATACTAGGGTTTCTCATTTCCCGGTCTTTTGATTGTCGCGGGATCCCGGGATATAATTAATTATTTTTTTAAGATATAAAATAAATCTTAAAATCGAATGATATAATTATTTTTCATTTTTAAGTAACTTAATACAACCTGCAACCTCCAAAATAATAATAATAATAATGCTGTGTAAAATATGTATAAAAAATTACTTTTGAGTTACGTAGAAATTTTCACAAATAGAAAAAGTTTATTAAAGTTTGTTGAAAACTGCTTACAAAAAAAAATGCCTTTGAGTTGAGTTGAAAATTTAAAGAAAAAATGAACTTAGATCAAATTTCTAAGTTAGAAGATAATTTTTGTTATTTAAATAAAACATTATAAAATTTACAATAATATTTTGTTATAAGATTTTAAAAAGCAAAGATGGTCAATACTCCGATCACTCAATTTGATTCTTATTTTACTAAAGAAAAGTCGTGCTACCGAGAATGCCATTCTGGATTCAATGGATATGGGTGGAATCGTCTTTAATGCATTTAAAAGAAGACAAATGTTATGTGTTTTTTTCACCCGTAGCTTGGAAGATTTCTAGTTAGTTTTCGAGATGTGTTGCAATATTTATTTTGCCGTCTAGTATTTTTTATTTGTTTACCTCGGCTGCTTTAATAGCGGCATCGAGCTTACAGCCCGATAATTCGGTAGTTCGTTTGGCTTTAATAATCAGGTTTATGAAGAAAAACTTCAATCTTGCAGACTCCGTACTCGTTTATATCCTTGCCCAATTTGCACAACCTGTCATAATGCAGTTATTGAAGCTACCGGGCATGGTTAAAAACTAAGACCCCATAAGCACAATTATTCCAGATATTACAGATTCTGTCAAGTAAAGAATTTTCAGTCCTGTCACAAATAGGCTACATATTGATTATTGACAATCAATAAATTTTTGCTTATTATGTGACATGCTATAATAAGCAAAAATTTAAAAAACTAATAAGCAAGTTTAAAAATTAATAAATAGAAATTTATTCTGACGGTTTGTGAGTTAATTATACTTTTTATTTGCAAAATTTTCTCAACTTTAACACAAAATAAGAAAAAAGTGAATTTGTACGAAATTTGCGGGATTTCCCGGGGTATTTCTCGGGCTAAAAAACAGCCGGGATTTCGTTGGAGAAACCCTAATCCGTATATAAGGGCGGATGGCCGAGCGGTCAAAGTGGCAGCCTACCGCTCTAGGGAACCCGGGATCGATCCGGACGGGTCGTAAATCCCCAGGAATTTTTCGGGGGTGGTCCTTCCGTATATGTTCGGGTCCCGTCCCTCATCACCCGGCCGCCCCATTGTGGGCCCGGCCGAACCCTAATGGGCTTGCTAAAAAGAGGCCCTCTTAGTGCCCACATGGTGGTAAGAATTTAAAAAAAAATCCATACATACAGAAAAACTCCCAATTTTTTTCCCTCGACGTTTTAAGGTTGTCTGAGTCAAAACTGTAAAAATCTTGGAGGGGAGGTTTTTTTTGACTGATCTCCATATTTTTCCTCTGTTATATACGAGTTCATAACATACAGATGATCTTTGACGGAAATTCAATGGAGGTAGAAATGTGCCATTTTACATGATAAATGTACTGTACTGTACTTAAGGTTTTTATGCAAAAATCAATATTAGTTGTTTTAGGTATGCCATCATCAAAGCAAAAGCAATGATATGGAAGAAATGTTTCATTATAAATTAAAAAGAATAAAAGTTATTTTGGTTCAGTTTTACTTCCTCATCTGTTATAACATAATGCGGGAAAGTATTGTAATTGTGTCAGATATGACCCGAGTTTTTCGACATTTTGAAATGGCCTGAACCAAAAAGTAAAAAAAAAAACAAAAAGGAAAAAATTTCGAGTGTGTTTCGTTTAATATCTCAGAATGGGGTATAAATTAAGAAATGAAATTTGGCATGGTGACTAGTATATTAGGACTATCAATACATGTAGGTCTATATATATTTATTGATGCTATTAAATTTTGGAGTACGGAATCTAGAGGAATGTGAGATAGATAAAAGCATGTAATATCTCGAGTGGTATCGTATTTAATGCAAATTTTACTTGTTGGCATTTACAATATTGTTAAAAACTCGCCTCCACCCCAAAAATTAACCTTTTTCTTGCATTTTTAAAAATAATAATATAAAAGTTATTTCTTAATAACATCTCAAGAGATGGTACGCACAGTTTTGAGTTAATGCTGTAGAGACCTATCATTTCAACAAAAATTTTTTATCGCAATTCAGCAAAATTACACCTTTTAACTTTTTGTCAAATTTATATCGTAGTATAATTGAAAATTATCAGATTTCCCAATGGTCCTCTTAACCTCCTGTTCGAGTGCCGAGAAAGTTGAGCAAGAGCCTTAAATCCTTTGAGGATTAACCGTGATTTTTTTTTCTATCTATCCACCTTTAAATAAAAATAATTCTTTATACGTTGGGAAATATTTTAATAAGTTTTGTAAATTACTATGTTCGATCCAGCCAGTTATATTCGATTTTTTTTCGTCTGTTAAGTACATCCTTGGAGGATTTCTGTAACGTGTATAACAGCCTTAAGCCAGCTTCTTCAAAAGACATCGTAATAAGATAACAATTTGAGCGATTAATTTTCATATTTATATAAATATTTCTACTGAGAGAGATTAGTTTTTTTCTACAAGTGAAATGGAGATTTTCCTTTATTGATCAAACATTGTGTACCCCTCCCGCATTTAAAAATGAAAAATCAAAGTCGTCTAGATCACAGTATGATTCTGTTAATCTGTTGTCATAGAAAACGGTATAAAAATAAACATAAATTAAAAATTTTTTTGGATTTTTCCTAAATGTGGAATCTAAGCATTAAATGCAAATACAGTAATACCCCGACTTACGCGAACCCAGAATTACGCGATTTTCAAATCTCGTCGATTCGTCTTTTGTTTGAGCGCCACGCAACCCTTGATTACTCACTCCCCCCACACTATTGTTCAGCTTACATGTTCGGATGTGTCGCGCGGAATCCACACATAGCTACAATTTATTTTGTGTTATTTATTTCTGTGTTTGTTATATCTACGGAGACTCGAGAGACTCTACTATGTCATCCAAACGAAGTAGAACTAATTCTTCTGCATCAAACAAGAAAAGAAAAACTTTATCTTTGGAATGTAAAGTTAACATTGGGTATGTTCGTAAAGTCGAACGAGTTAAACGAGAATGACGTCATCGTTATTCCTATTTCGTTAGACTTTTCGAACGATTCGTTACTAACGCGTTTAACTCGTTTGACTTTACGAACGTACCCATTATTAAAGACTTCGATACAAAAATGAAAATTTGTGAATTGGCAAAGAAGTTTGATCTACCGGAATTGTCGGTCAGAACAATTATAAAAAGCAAAGAAAAAATTCTCGAAGCTGTGAAAAATGCTCAATCTTTAAATTCAAGCATCATTCGTAAACGTCACAGTATTATCGCTGAGATGGAAACAATGTTAAAATTATTGCGTAATAATCAAGTAAATGTGAAAAATTGTCAAATAATATAGGCCTAATTTGTTATACATATGTATTATCTAAGATTTTATTAGACATTTTTTTCTAAATTATTGTTTTCTTTAGTCTCCGGCCCCAATTAAAAATTATTTGTATGTATTTATATGCGAAATTATACCCCGACTTACGCGAATTCGACTTACGCGGTTACCGCTCGGTCCCACCTATCGCGTAAGTTCGGGGTATTACTGTATACTCGTACATATATAAAAGAATATCGAATAATATGCTACAAACTAAAAATGATTATTATCCTATTCAGGAAGAGAAATCTTATATGCCGCGTTTTAATTAAAAATAAATAAATAAATAAATAAATATATATATATATATATTTTTTTTTTGTAAAATATATTTTTGTAAGTGTGCGTATAGAAATATGTTTTACATCTGTATATAGAAAAGAAAATTTTTATCTACAAACCTATTCCCATACCCTGTAGCAATGATGATTGGATACGTCACTTATTTTATTCTAACGTCTCTTATAAATAATGTTTTAGGACAACAAAATTTTATGTTCTTAAGTATTTGGGAACAAATGACAATTTCTACATCGTATATATTTAATTCTCAATATCTGAATTACCTTAATTTTTAGGATTACTTATTGAAAAAATAAAGAACAGTTATTATCATTAATTAGCAATATAATTTGTACTATAGAAATTAATTTTTAATTTTTTAACTAAGGAAAGAAATTCTCTTTTTACTTGTATTTAATCATAACGAAAGAGAAAAATATTTAATAATTAAAAGATTTAAGATATAAAAATCGATACATGTGTATTTATAGACTTAAAATTCGTTTCAATTCAGTTAGTTTATTTTTTAATGTGTCTTCAAGTCTATTTGTATTTAATATTTTTAGAATATTTTGCTAAATTTGGAATTTTCTTTATAGTTTTTGATGAAAAACGATAACAACTTTCTTATTTAAGTGGTTTATCAATCAAATAAAACTTTAAGCGCATTGTTTTGGCTGCGAGTTTTTTCGCAAATTTCAATCTCGCTCAGTGAAAGATCTCTTCAGATATAATTTTTTATCAAGTGGAATAAAAACTTTTTATTTGAAATTCAATTTATTCAATAAATTATTGTGAATAATCAAATCAAAAATTGTTGATAATCGGTATTAGAGAGATGATGTTTAGTTATAGGTTGTTAAAAATTTTATGAAGGTTCGCAAAATATTAAAATGCTATTAAAAAGTAAAAATTGGTATAAAATAAATTTATGTATTAAATTCAAAAGTTAATAAAATGATAATTTTGAGTCTGCTGTATTTGAAAATAACCCCCCAAAAAAACTTTCACAAGAATCAACAATTAATCATCCCATTTGTGTTGAGTTAGGTTATCCCTTTTAATATTTTTGTTCGCTTAAAACGAGTTATTTGTTACCGTAACGTTTTTATAACAAACATGTTATGAAAACGATAAGTATAACTTCTTACATTTATAGGATACACAGTGGAAAACAGTATAATTTTTTTTTCTTTAGTTACAGAAGAAAAAAAGAGGAGGAAAATTTTTGCCAAGAGTGCATTATTCATCTAATCACATGGTAAATTTGATTGTCTTAGAAACCAGGAGTCTAAATATAGGAAGAAATGAAATATTTACTAGTTTGAATAATTCAGGGGTAATAAAGTAGGCCACACAATGTGATATAAATTAACAGTTTAATAATCTAGCAACAGGATAATTTATGATCTATTTATTATTGAATGGATCCTTTACTGTGACAATCATTATTCTAGAGAATTAAGTTTTTTGTGGTAACTTTTATAACATCAGAGACTTAATACTTTCTGGCAAAATATAGTATCTATGCATTCCTTTTAACATTTGACTTTGGCATTTATATTTAAAATATTATTTTGACCTATATGTCAAATATAACAATAGTATTAATCATATTTTCTCAATCAAAGTATAAACTAAAGCATGTCAGTATTTTTAATTAGAAATGACAAAAGTAGACAGAATATTTCCAGTTTATTATATTCTTTGCATTATATAATTAAACACCAAGTAATTTGGTACTAGTATATATAGTACAAATTACTTAGTATATAATCATTAATAATAGCAGATTTATAGCCGATTGTTTAAAGCGATTGTTTGGTCGAGTATCTACGTGTCAGGCTTTGGATGTTTAGTATACTTGTATTATATAGTCTTTGTATAGTATTATTCAGTATATAATATTCTTTGTATCCTGTAGTTGGATAAGAAATAATGAAAGATACTATTCGGTTTGTAATACAATACATATTTGCAAGTCATTCCAATTAGTTACGTTGAAATATTATACATTAACAATACTACTTATTGAAGATTGCATCTGTGGAAAAATCATTTTTTATATTTTATTATTATGAAACAGTCTTCCATAGCTGTTTTAATCTTCCTAAATGTTTTACTGGAAATTATCAATTTCACATTCAGTTAATTCATTGTATAATTAATACAGAAGAAATATCTGTATGTATTAATTACATCATAAAGGATTTTCTGATAAAATAATTTTTCTCATTGTATATATATATAAAATATAATTATTAAAAAAAACTTAAAACCTCCTGACAATGTTTAGCAATTTGAATTTTATGTTTTGGAATAAGCATAATATAATAATCAGATTTCATTAAACAGATTACAATAATAATAATAATTTAAAGTCATATTGATATTCCAGTTAAGGTTAAAACTAAAAATACAGACCAAACTGTTAAATATGACTAAGTCTGTCTCATGCTAAACAGGTTTGTGAAATATCTCCATAGAGATTATATGGCCCTCTCTTTCATGACAACAGTGATTTACTATGAGATAAATACTACTATTGAATAATTGAGCAGAGCTCTAAATAAGTCAGGTGTTTTGTCTGTGATTGAAGTTTAAAACAACCACATAACCTTTAAACAAGATTTTATGCAAATACAAGGTCTGTTCAAAAAGTATCGGACCTTTGGTCGGCAAAAATAAATTTATTGACTTTGAGGAACAAAACCCTAATCCCCTTCAAAGTAGTCTCCTTGGTAATGTATACACTTCTCCCAGCGTTTCTGCCATTGCTGGAAACACTGCTGGAACGCATCTTTTGGAATGGTTATCAGCCGGTCCGTCGCATTTCGCATGATGTCTTCTCTCGACTAAATTTGGGTTCCTTTTAGCGGCATTTTCAGCTTGAGAAATAGCCAAAGGTCACACGGAGCCATGTGGAGAGAGTACGGAGCGTGACGAACCACAGGAGTATTGTGTTTGGCGACGAAAGCCCGAATCAGATGCGCAGAATGGGCGGATGCGTTATCACGATGGAGCTGCCAAGTTTTGATCGACCACAGATCCGGTCGTTTGCGTCGCACTGTATCGGAAAGACGACGAAGGACCTCCTGGTAGTACTCCTTTGCGATGGTTTGGCCTTGTGGTGCGTACTCACGACACACCACCCCACGAGAGTCGAAAAAACTGTCAACATGACCTTTGATATTGCTGCGGACCTGCCGCGCTTTTTTTGGCCTCGAGGATCGTCCCCGAAAGCCTGCTGAATCTTGCGAATGGTTTACACTCGGGTATCGCCAAGGTTTTTGGCAAAATTTGATGTAATATCGCTGCTCACGTTGTTCAGTCATTTTCCAGCTTAGTGAAATCCGACGAGAGCGCACTACATGACCTCACTCATACGCCGATTGCCAACGACTGACGCTTTCTGCAGGCGGGAAAAAATTCAGGGCTGTGCATGACTGTCCCCTCCATAACTCCACCGAAGAAGGCCTCTCTCGCATCATTGGTTTACGCGGAAAAAAATAAGGTCCGATACTTTTTGAACAGACCTTGTATGTACTGTACAACTCAGCAAGGCTGATGTCATGACGAAGCTGGAATTTCGTAATTCAGTCTAAGGGCTGAGATATTTGAGGTCATAGTTTTCCATGTAAAGTCTGTGGCCAATTGCTGGTTGTAAGCTGGCTGGTGCTACATGTCAATCAAGTTTAGATTGCTGTCAACTTACATTGATTGCTACAATTTTTTATTTTAGATTTAGATCAGTTTTAAACCATTTTTCCAGGTCTTTTCTCTGTTTCAAGCATTTAACAGTCAGTAGACCACTGTAGTACATGTGGGATGTTTTAAACATTTGACATTTTTGTTATTTATGACAATGGACATGCACATTCTTCACTGAACCAGCAGGTTTTAAACTGTTTTAGACAGAACATTAAAAGTGTGTCACCATATTTTTGTTTTTATGTGAAGCCAAAACAGAAAAACCTACAATGCAGAGCTGTTTTGTTTTCCTAGAAAACACCTAGTATTATATTATGTAGGATTTAACTACTATTCAAATTAAATGATTGTAAATGCATAAATGGATCAAGAAACAAATTTTTGGGGAATAATTTTTAATTCATATAATAAAATAAAAGTTCTCTCTCAAAATTACTTAAACAATATAAAAATGTAATAAAATTGAAAAGTAATTATAAAAATATTAAAATGTAAATGTTATTTTAAAGAAATAATGAAGTTCCTATTAGCAATGAAAATAAATGTTATGAGGCAATTGCCCCTATTATCTTTCTTTGGTCTATATCTGTGTAAATGATAATCTAAAAATTAAACACTTTTAATGGAAAAAATAAAAAAAATATTGCAAATTTCAACTGTAATTTTTGCAATGTATGTGCAGAAGCAGTGGCAATATATTTTTAGCTATATTGACAAGAGCCATGCTTTACATGTTGTTAGTTGTGCCAAAAGCACAATAATAACATAAGTTACAGTTTTTGACAGTTGTGCTTTGGCACAAGTTTCAAAAATTTGATTTCATTTTTTAAGCTTTTGGCACAGATTTCAGTATAATCATCTAAATAATTATTTATAATTGAATATCAGATTTACTCAGCTAAAAGGTTGTAACCTTATTAAATCTCCGGGGGTTACCAGTACAAAAAGGTGAGAACCACTCCCTTCACTTATCATTTTCGAATACCTTTACCTACAGTTTAAATGGAATCGATGGTTTCTATGCGAAATTGCATATGACAGATAGATTTGACAGCCATATCTAAATTCGTAATAAAATTATTTTTAGTTTAGTATAACATATAACCATATTATATGATAACATCATCATTTTAAAAGCATTACAGTCAATACTTTCCGCAAAGAGTTTATTTTGTTTATGATTGTTATATGTACAGTAATATGTTAATAATATATTTATAAGTTAACGAAATTATAAACATATTAAATACAGTTTTAAGTTTTAGTTATTTAGAATCTATGAGGGTTTCTACTAAAATTATCAGTTTATTATGTTGATATATTACTACTTTGATACCGTTACTTACTCTATTCTGTTAATAAATCTTAGTAGAGGTATAAAATAATTTTATAATATTTATATTTATATATATTTTTTTATTTTTAAAATTTACTTTGTGAGAATTGGATCGTACTGTACGTGTCAGGTCTGAAGATTAAACAAAATCGTTACTAAATTAATCTCATTTTTTAGGAATTTTTAAGCTTCAATAAAACAAAAAATTAGTTTTAATAATATATTTTCAAACTATTTTTATAACTAAATTTCATTTTAATTATTTANTTCTTTCAGTATCTTGATTAATTGAATATAAATATTCTTTTGTCTTGTATACTTAAATATATAAATAAATATATTAATAGTGCAGTTTATTTTTTAAAATGTAAAAATTTTTAAGTTTAAAAAGATTAAATCAACCATTGTTTTTTCATCTGTAACAACATTTAATCAGAGACAAAGCCAATACTGAAATATTTAGATGCTAGTATTTATTATTATGCATTTCAGGTGTAATTTAATCCTTTTACACCCCTCTTCAGGCAATACAAAAACCTTTTTGAAAAAAACAAAAGTCATAAATTTTCCATAATCCACAAATCATTGTTATTAATGGATTATGGAAAATGTATAAATGAACTTGTTTTTCAAAAACGTTTTTGTATTTCTGTGTCAGGTCAGGTGAGTAGGGGGAAACACAGTGGTCTTGTTTTTGGCCAAAAACTCACGAGTTCTGAGGGGCAAATGAGCCGGCGCATTGTCGTGATGAAAAATACCACTCGCTGCTTCTCCAAAGTTCAGGCCGTTTTTGCCTGATTCTGTGTCTTAGGCATTTCATAACACCAAGTAGTACTCTGTGTTGACTGTTTGGCCTGTAGATAGGTATTTGCGATGCACAATCCCTATTGCATAGAAAAAAACAGTCAACATCACCTTAAAATTTAAGCGAACTTGTTGAGCTTTTTTGGAGCACTGTTTCACCCACCCGTGGGAAGTTTCCGTGAAGGATTTTTGGAGTTTCACACAGAATTTTACAGAACAACGCTGCTCTTTCAAAGAGCTGATTTCCGCGGATCCGATTTTTCGCCGAACCCCACAAACACCCCTTCACATAAATGGCAGTAAATAATCACCAAAACAAGATATCAACAAACAGGTTGAAGAAGTTAACTCGGGAGGTTTAAACAGACACAACGCCTCCAAGTGAATTAAAAAATAACCAACTGGAGGCGCGCTATCCCACATTCCTTTTCTTTAGATTTTAGAATTCACTATAATCATATAAAAAGCAATACTGTATATTTTTGTTTATTATATACCAGTGTTTCTCAACGGGGGCAATATCGCCCCCATGTAGGCATTTTTCCATACTGAGGGGGCGATTAGTAACAATTTATATTTTGGAGGGGGCGAAAAACAATTTTTTGGGCGATAGAGTAAAACATTATATTAAGAATAATTAGATATTTTATTCGTTATATTGTACAATAATTAAACAAATAACATTATACTAGTCATTAGTCTATTCAATGCAGTACGAATTTGGCATTAGCCTTGGCCCTCGGCATCGGAATTTTGAAGTGAAGGGGCGATATTACGTTGATTCATTAAAGGTTGAGAAACACTGTTATATACAGTTGTCCAACAGAACAGTAAACTATTTTATTTACAAATTTTTTCAAAATAGACAGTTTGACCGGGCCCTTCTAAAAACTGGGCCCTAGACATTTGTCTCATTTGTCTATGCGATGATCCAGCCCTGGTCAGAGCAAAGGTTGCTAATGTGTTGTTGGCCAGCCCTTTTATGATGGAAGTTTGATGTTCTTTGAGGCAGATGTTTAAAGATCACTCTGTAGCACCCACATATTCTAAGTTGTGGCTCTGTGATCTGTAACAGGGATAGTATACAGTATATACCAGATTCGCAGTGCATATCTGAATAGTCTGTCATTACAGAGAATGGTAAAAACTGAGGACTTTTAATGAAAGCTAATTGGAAGTTATTTTTTTTAGCAATTCTTCTACAGGGTGACTAGTTTTCTGTATGCAATAGCTTTGTATATGGTGTCATGGAAGTGATTGTTAGGTATGATGGAGGTGGAGAAGAAATGACAATGAGTTAGACCTTTGATGATGTGTGGAGAGTAACCATGTTGCCTGATGGCATACTGAGTGTTAAATTAAAATTCCTTACCCCTGTCTTGAATGTCAGAGGAATGGGTGAAGGCTCAACAAATTAGGCCACTGAAGATTTTCATCCCTACCCCTTCTCATATTTCTTTTTTTCTTTAACATGGCTGCCTTTAGTTGATATGTGTCTATTGGATAAGGTAAGCTACAGATAAAGGTAGTGAACTTCTTGTTTGTTATCTTATTCCAGGGGGAGACAAAGGCTGTAGGGATTGGTGTTGATTATATGCAAGAAATCTTGAATACAGGATTTTTGTTACCATGAGATAAGAATATTGCTGACATAATGTGCATATAAGAGAATGTGGTGGTTGAAGGCAGGCAGAATGGAGATCTTGAATTGCCAAATGACATTTTTCAAAGGGTGCCTGAGAGGGGGCTGCCCATAGGTACATCCCTGCCTTGCCGAAAAGTCATGCCCTTGAAAGCAAAATAAAAGTGTGGCATAAGAGATCGGCAAGCTCTAGGATATTAAGGTGATGTTTAGCTGAGTCCTGAATGCTGCTAAGAAGGAATTTATGCAGAGAACAAAAACAGGGTTCAAATTGGATGGAAGGATAAAGAAACCATAACATATACTGGACCATGGATCGTGAGATTCTTGAGGCATTTGATTAACTCCAGTATGTTGGTGTTGGTTTACAGGTATATAGGAAGGTTGTCTAAAATTTAACTGTTTACTATCCTTTTGAAGCATATGGTAGGTGATGAAGATTTATCCACAGTTGATTGAAGTTGTGTGCCAGGCTTAATGTATCTTCATGAATGTGAAGATATGAAGTATGGCAGGGACAGTGAATGTAGCATTACTCAGATGAAGGAGGCATACCAGTAGGGCATTGGAAAATCAAATTTCCCTGGACTGGAACTTTTGGAGGAAGCTGTCAGGGGTTATGGAACAGTGGGTGTCATGTATATATTCCTGGATGCCACTACAATATGTAGACCTATACATAAGAACAATGTCTTTAGACTTATCAGCTTTGAGGGCAATGATGTCATTAGATTTCATCCATTTCTTAGACTGCTGCATGGATTTCCTATACCCAGTTTTGAATAGTTGATTTTACTAATATATTTTCCTGATAAATAAATAATGATAATATTTTATACTTAATTTTTTTTGATGATATATATATATCATAAAATAAAGTTCATGTAGTAGCATGTGTATATTATGAACTTTTCTTTAAATCAGACTCAAAATGAAAAATAATGTAGTAAAAAACTATAAGCTGCTGTGTTTAATGATGCAAAGTTCTTACTCAATAATTATGCTAAGATCCTGAACTTATTTCTAACAAAATATTGACCAAGAGTTCTTAATAGTGAATGCTAAGTTATAACTGGCAATGTCATCTTTTTCTATTTCATCATTGTCATTTATAAGACATATAGACTAGTTTATATATATTTAACAATCACAAAACTATGATTACAATAAATAAAGAGGAGAATATATCACAGACAGAATAAACAATCATTTGTGTATTCTGCCATTTTTAACCCAATTTGATTCATAAATTGTGCAGTATTCAAAGATATTCATAATGGTTGTTCTTTCTGTTCTAGCTAATTAGATTTCCTATTTAGCATGCCACATTATTGAACATAGCCCTGCTTGGCATCTCAAACATCCCTATTTTTTTAAAATATGTTTTTCAAGTCTAAAATTTGTTTAACATTACAGGATTAAAAGCTTATTTCTTCAAGTAAATGTTCCTGTGAAAGTAACATAAATGTATTTGTGATAATCATGTGTTATGTCATTGTGACATCCCGTACGCTATTATGGACACTTCTTACCATAGCTACAACATTAGCTATGGTGGCGGCGGTCATTACACCCAGCTGGCTCATCGGAGCTCCAAGAAAGCCGGGTCTCAGGACAAGACAACAACTTCTGGTTCGCAGTGATTTTAACAATAACGAGTTATTCTCTCCGACCTTAGGTAACGACTTTCGTTAAAAAATCTCTCTTAAGTTTAGCTTGCTGCAATCTGTAAACGATACCGAATCAATTTAATTTAATTAGAAATTAAATCAACACATATTGATTTTTCAGGTATTTATAATCGTTGTACCAAACTTCACGAGATTAATCAACTTTTTACCGATAACTGTGCTCCTTTTGTAACAAGTTTTGGTATGCCATCTGACGATTTTCCCAATTTTTGGAAAGCGGCGCTCGTTTTCTTTGCTTGCGGCTTAGTCTTGATGATTTTTACCGTCTTCACTTCTCTTCTGGGATGCTGTATTCGAAGTATAGTGAGGAAAAGCATTTTTACAATCTCAGGGACCATTCAGGCAATTGCTGGTAAGTTTAATACAGTATTTAAATTTTTAAATAAAAATGTTTTAATTATCAATGCTAATATCAAAATTTACAGAAATCTTATGTACTATATAATTATTATTATAGATTATATATAAAAACATATGCACCACAGATGTTCATTGCCCTTCTTAGATAAGGTTTTAACCTCTGAAACTTACAGCGTATCGAATAAACACAATTTCCTGAAATTAAATGTAATTTTTTTCAATGGTGAGATTTATATTTTTCTTCAGAAATAATTCAAAATGAGATTGCTGCTCATAACNTTTATATTTCTTGTTGTTTTAGGATATTAATATAAATAAAAGTAAATATAGCTTATTAATACTTTTTACATTATAAATATTTAAATGATTTTAATTCTTACAGGTAATTGGGATGGTCATCTATATGGATTAATAGGGTTGAATAGATTAGATAGTATAGAAGTTTTGCAAGCTATTCGTTTAGTTGGATTAGATTTTTTAGTATTTTTTTGTTCAGTTGCTGTTTTAGTAACATGTGACAAACTTCAAGATGTTTCAGCACCATGTGAAGGTCAAGAACAAATGGATGCCGCTACTCTAAAACCAACATTACAAAGGAAAAAGCGCACTTCAGAATTTTTTTTATTATTAGGTGAAACATTAGTTCTTATATTCATGGCTGGAGCTGGTATTCTTCAACCTTCTATAATCTCTTCAGTATATTTTGTAGCATTTCTTGCAATATGTTCATGGATAGCATGTAATTTAAAATTGGGTCATAGATATGCTATTAGCAAAGTACCACTTCTTATTTATTGTGCCACTCACTTCACAATTATATATATATATCAGTTTGATTTTGCACAGCAATTAATTCCACACCAAAGTCTTTATGCAAGGTAGGGAAATATTATTTAGTTATATTTAATTTAGAAGTTGATTAATTCAATGGTTCTCAACTGATATGTCACAAATTTCCTACAGCAACCAACATTTCAAAAACTAATCTAAAAATGCTCATTTTTGTTAATTTTTTTATTTTAAATAAAAAAAACTGCCATTTAGTAATGTCATATTTTGTTTGTACATATTCTTGCATCTTTACAGTACAGTCGACCCCCCCTTATAACATGGGTTCCTATAGATCGGATTCCTATATCATGGCAAAAAAATTGTGACAGTATTCATACAAACATGTAAAAAAAACTCCTGTAATTCGGTAAAATGTCATTGCCGACTTGTGTCGCGACAGGATTGCACAAACCGTTGAGTTTAAACGAGCAGTGGATCTACTAAAAACCATTTATTATTTAACGTCCATAAAAATTATATTTATATTAATGACGTCTCTAAAGTTCAGCAAATTTTTCGCAAAAAAAAATAATTTATCAGGAAGCACGCGAGCACTATTCGATGACAATCTCCACGACGAAAACAAGCTTAAGCAACGGGGTAGTTGAACGATGCACACTCGGTAAGTAATCCTACAATTTTTTGTTTATAGCATAGTTTATATGGATTATTCCCAAAAAATTATACGTATTTTGGAAATGTTGAGTCGAATTAGTCTAGAATCTATTAATTTTGTGGAAGAAAACCTTTCAAACAGCCGTAGTTCGTAAACTGCATATGTGCCGGGCTGTGATAGACTGGACTCGTAAAAGTTGGATTCATAAAACTCAGAACGTATCTACCGTGTTATAGGGGGGGTCGACTGTAAATGCATATAAGTGACACTTATGCTTCAGCACAATTAATTAATGTACACATCCAGATGATATGTGTATATTAGTTCTTCTCCAAAGCAACATTCACAAATGCTACTAGATCAGTTTACAGTTTTATGGTTATGATTTTATATCGTTTAATAAACATCTCAGATTACATTTTTCTTACACTGATATTATTAGTTTCACTTGTCAATTTACATCTTGATAAAAGGATTAATTACATAATAAATTTTATTAATTAAATAAGAATGTGTCATATCTGACATCAGAAGAAACAACATTGATATCTCATTGTTATTTTTACATTATTTTCAACAGATAATTAAAGCAAGAACAGTGTGATGACAACTGTAATGGTTCTCCGTTATACAGTGAATTATTAGAAAACTGGACTAATTGGGACAAAGTCCCCAAACGTATTTTCAAATATATGTGTAAATTAATATGTATTTTTGGTGGCAGAATTCAAATTTCTGATGTCTAGATCTTTGATGCTTTACTGTATTTTTATTAATAAGATTCTAGAATGTTTTTAAATTGTGTGAATTTTAGGACTACACAATTTTATCTTAAAAATTATTTTTTAAATATGTTTATTGATTTCTGATGCTTTTTATTGCCATTTTAATATAATTTTGCAATAAATAAAGTACAGAATTTTTAAAATTTCAAATTAAAAGATTAAAAACAAATTTTGAATTTATGCATACAAAATAAAAATTTAAGTACAAAGTAAAAAGCACAGCAAAAAATAAGTAAAGAAATAATATAGTTACTATTAATTTCATATAACAAAATATACTAATTTATATATAT